CAAAATATGCCTTTGCTATCCAATTTCACTCTTAACCAAAATGGCATCAACCAAAAGAAACACAGTGGGGAAATACAGTAAAATCCAATCAGTTTTGCTTCATTAACAAGTATTATTGAAGATTTGTAAGAATGGCCAACTTATTAATAAGATGCCTTATGACTTTGTGATTTTTGGTTACCTGAACCTTAATAAATATGCAGGATGGAAAATGGAAAGAAATTGACATGTATTAAAGATTCAAACTACCAACACATAGAACACAAGAACTCGTTTTTCTTGAGCAGCAGAGAGAAACATAAGATTAACTTAACAGGCATACATAATGAAAAAAAGTAATTTTTCTATTCTAAGGACACTAGTTCACAGCGAACTATGTAGAGAAAAGAGTGTTACTCATACACTTTTTTTTAATAAGCTCCAGATTTGCAAAAACAAAGACTTGTTCAAAAACACCTGAGACAAGCACAACATTAAAAAAACAGCACATATATCTCATACTGATATCTACAATGAAAACAATAATTGAATAGAAAAAACTTTTGTCAAAATGCATCTGGATTAAAATTCTAGTTTTATCATGTCGAAGCAACTACATGAAATCACAAACCATGTTACTACTGTCCTTTGTACCATATCTTTTTTTCTTTTTAAAGACTTTATTTATTTGAGAGGTAGAGTTACAGAGAGAGGGAGAGACAGAGAGAAAGGTCTTCCATCCACTGGTTCACTCCCTAAATGGCTGCAATGACCAGAGCTGGGACGATCCAGAGCCAGGAGCCAGGAGCTTCATCGGAAGAGGAGCAGCCGAGATATGAACCGGTGCTCATATGGGATGCCGGCACCCACAGGTGGAGGCTTAGCCCACTATGCCACAGTGTAGGCCTCTACCATATCCTTTTTACATTCTAAATTAGTGCATTACCATAACTTGGGTTCCTAAATTCATGTAATACCACTAAGACTCCTTTAATGTCTATATAGAAGTTAATTCTTCTGGACTATTTGAGTACCAAATGACATTATTACATCTGTTCAGTTTGTAGAACATTATTCCAATTCACTGAAAAAAGACTTTTCGATCGAGCCAATGATTACTAGTAAAGTGTAGGTAGGACCCTTGCTCTAAATAGTCTGAATCTTAACACAGACACTAGAAGATAAACCTGCTGTGAACTAAATGCGGAGCGACACTAATGGTATGGGGAAAGCAGCAGCAACATCTTCCGTTTGCATGTGCACTGGACGGGGAATTCCCCCTAGATAACCTCTAGAACACTGACTGACAAAGCTACAAGGAGATCCTTACGTGGGACAAACAAGTCTAAGGAAAATCCCCTAGACCTTTCCCGCAACTAGCTCCAATGCCCATTACAACATTGATCTGGACACCTAGCTTTACATAATCAATATGGTAAAACTTCTAATTTTAAAGCAAACCTAGGAAAAAAAATAGGGGAGAGTAGTTATTGTCCTGTTTCTCTGTCTACTCTTGGCTCATATACCCTGAAGGTACAATTTAAAAGAAATCCAAAACAAGTAACTTAAGTTAGAGCATCACTGATAACATTCCAGAGAGCTTAGAAAAATCATTTTAATGTTAGACAGACATATTTAATCCTTGTAAGTAGGTTATAACACTACTATCATCTTGATAAAACTTAACCTGCCACTAATATAAAATCAGGCAGACATTTACAGGATTTAACATCTTATAACAAAACCATTAAAATGAATTTCCATTAAATTCTTTTTAAATTAATTTGATACTTACAACATAACCAAACTTCTGATTAATATAACTTTGTCACTTACCAATTGTTGTTTATCTAATTATTTCTGCATAATGGAAGTGAAAACTATAGAAAAGGATGTTAAGTGCTAAAACTAACAACCTGTACACATACTTTATGATGCTTCCAGATTTTTCAGGACCATTAAATTAGGAGAAACTATATTCAAATCCTGAGACATTTTGAATGAAAGAGAAACACTTGCTTTTTAATACTACTTTCTATCTATTTAAAAGAGTATACCCAATGAAAGTAAAAATCACCAAAAACATTCTTAATTATAGTTAAAGAGATGAAATAAAGTGGAGAATCTGAACACTCTAAGGATTATTTGAGGCATTTACTAACTTTATGCATATATATATATATATTTACACACATCCCTAAACCATTTTATTTTTCTTTCCTATGAAAGAATATTCTCAAGAGCCAAAGTCCTTTCTCAATTTTCACATTTTTAGGTAAAATATCCAAGGGGAGCTGGACACTTCTTGTGCTTTAAACCTTATGTAGAAAATATTTCCATTTGATCACTAGAACAATATATTTATCAGACTACTAACTTACTGTTCTCTTTAGGACCTATTTATTTGGAAGTCAGAGGTACAGAGAGAGCAGAGACCAGAGAGGGCTTCCATCCGCAGGTTCGTTTCCTAGATGGCTGTGAATAGCCTGGGCTGAGTCAGGCTGAAGCCGGGAGCCTGTTCCGAGTCCCCCAGGTGGGTGGCAGGGGCCTGAGCTCTTGGGCCATCTTACACTCTTATCTTAGGCCGTTAGCAGGGAGCTGGAATGGACATGGAGCAGCGAAGACTTTGAACCAGCGCCCACAAGGGATGCCAGCGACACAGGCAGAGGCTTACCCAGTCCCAGACTACTTCTAATGTCTCTTTCGGCTCTTCCTGACCTATGGGCATTTCAAAAACAGTACATCTCTTTTCATTTTTTTCTAATTTTTATTTATTTATTTTACTTGAAATAATGGAAGAGATAGGTATCTCTTATCTGCTGGTCTACTCTCAAAGGTCCACAAAAACCAGGGATGGGCAGGCCAAAGACCGGAGTCAAGAACCCAATTCACGTTTCACACAGTGGGTGGCAGGGAGTGGATATAAAAATGCATCTCCCTACTCTATTCCCTGATCATTACATTGCAGGACACTGCCCACCCCAACTGTACATCAACCAAAAACCTTAGCTCCTCACCTTAAAAAGTTTATTAAAACCAAAGCTTTCAGGATTACATTTTAAGCTACCCTTCTTTCTTCTGGATACCAATTATTGTATATTGTGATTTCAGGGTCAACAGACATTATAGAATGATATTCAACTATACAGGAGGAACACAGTTTAGCATCATGGGCTCAGTTTCATTACTAGTTCATGTTGTCTCTTCTTGTTTTCTCGTTATGAATATTACATGAGGTAAATACATGTAAAGAATTGAGAGTAGCTTGTGGTACATAGTAAGAATTTAATACATATTATTTCAGTGGTAATTATTATAAACTATACTGAACAGCTACACATAATTTACACATTTTGCTTTTATTTAGTTCTAATTTTCTTGATAAACAATTCATATGCTATAAACATCTGTATCTAGTGGCAGTCACTCCTATACTCTCCTCTCCACCATTCTTTGCCTCCCCAAACTTCCAGCAAACACTAAGCTGTTCTCTTGTCTCTATAGATTTGCCTCTTCTGGACATGGCACACAAACAGAATCCTATTCTATGTAATCTTTTATGTATGACTTTTTTTCATTATTAGGAATAATAAATAGTATAATTTTACATATATTTTCTGTTCTCTTGGGCAAATACTTAGAAGTGGAACTGACTGGACATACAGGAACTCTATGATAAACTTTGATACTTCAAAAAATGAACCCATTTAAGGAACCAAGCTTTATCTTTGTTACTATTTTCCAACATCATTATAATAATAATAATATAGATACTGGTTTCAAATCTTAATTGCTGTGATTCATTCAACCTATAAAAGTTCTAGATTTATCACAGAAAATGAACTCTGAAAGGCAAGATATGCTCTACCACTAAGCATCTTAGTCAAAGGACTGGTTTTAAGGTGTTCATGAAAACAGACTAAACCCGTCTGTATATTACACCAAACAGGCTTTTAAGAGTTTATTCAGGAGCAGGAAAGGTGACGCAGCAGGTTAAGCTGCTACTTAGGAAGCCTGAATCTCACACGGAAGACCCAGGATCAAGTCCCAGCCCTGCTTCCACTCCAGCTTCCTGATAACACAACTGGAAGGCAGCAGATGATGGCTTATGTGCTTGGATTACTGTCCACACATGGACAATACAGATGGAGTTCCTGGCTCTGGCCTATCCCTGGCTGTTGCAGGCATCTGGGAAGTGAAACAGCAGATGGAAGATTCATTCTCTCTCTCTACCTCACCCTCTTCTTCTCTCCTTTTTTTTTTTTTTTTTTTTTTTTTTTTTCTGACAGGCAGAGTTAGACAGTGAGAGAGAGAGAGAGATGGAGAGAAAGGTCTTCCTTTCCACTAGTTCACCCCCCAAATGGTCACTACGGCTGGTGCGCTGTGCCGATCTGGAGCCAGGAGCCAGGTGCTTCTCCTGGTCTCCCATGGGGTGCAGGGCCCAGGCACCTGGGCCATCCTCCACTGCTTTCCCAGGCTACAGCAGAGAGCTGGACTGGAAGAGGAGCAACCAGGACAGAATTCTGTGCCTCAACCAGGACTAGAACCCAGGGTGCCAGCGCCACAGGCGGAGGATTAGCCGAGTGAGCCATGGCGCCGGCCCTCTCCTTCCTTCTCTTTGCCTTTCAAATAAAAAACTTTGAAAAAGCTTACTCAATTATTTGCCTTGAGGATATAAATCTCTTATGGCAAATAAGCTGAATCTAAGTGTGATACAAAAAATAAGAATGATTTCTATAAAATATATGTCTATTCCTCAAAATTAAGAAAAGAGGTTCACAAGTTTTAAAACCAGACTAATTTCTATAAAGACAAAACTCATCAAGGAAAAGCAAAGATGCCTAAGTATATATGTAAACTTAAATATGTATGTAAAAACAGGGACCTTCCTTTGTAATATCAAGCATTGTTTTTTATCATTTCACGTGTAAAACATATCAAAACAGAAATATCTGTCCAATGAAAAGAACGTATGTATATGAAACACTCCTTAGTTGACATTTTTAAGTCAAATCACTTACCTATGTAGACCCTTTTGCTGTATCTCTGCATTAGTAATAATACAAATACATGCAGTGGAATAAGGTTGATGATAAACACATAACCACCCCAAGCAGAGACCTATGGGGAAAGAAATGCTAAGTTAAATCAAATACTGAGCAAATATAACACACTAGGATTTTTAGCAATGTGAGAGACATTTATGCATTTATTTAACCTATAAGTGATCTATTTCTCCTTACTCTTATTGAGAATTATATTGATTCCATAAGTCAAATATGCTTTTCAAAATTCACTGGAGAAATGTTCAAATTAGATTCACTTAATACAAAATCTAAGAACATTATTATTTGTGAATTGGCACTAACCAAACTATTACAGAGATAAGGGAGTTTTAAGTTATAGATCAAAGTGCTTTTATTTTACTCATTTTTGAGGGTAAACTGCAAGATGGTTGACTGAAAGAAAAATGAATATAAGCACTTAGCAACAACAACTAAAAGGACTATTAAGATAATCTGGATATGCTTTGAAATTCTCAAAATTAAAAGGGCTAGTTGCTTTAGTGCATTCAATAATGGGCAGTATCGTCTTTTCAAGATCAGGACGTACTCTAATGAAAGCCTGATGGAATTATTTGTCCCAACAGTTACTTTAGGAGAGTGTATGTCCACATATCTAAAATGTTTCAGAATACCCTGTAAGTAGGTACCATTATTTTACAAGGGATACAAGAACACCAGCTTATTACTGCAGTTCACATATTATTTTTCACTAAAACAATGTTTTCCTGATTGAGCACTGGTCCTAGAGAAGGGGTTTGCTATTGCTGAGCACAACTGAACTGAATGTGTCCCAGGCTTTCACCACTTTGAATTAGTTACAAATAACTTGGATGCTCATGTGACAGTACTTCAAAAGGTCTGCAGAAAAAGCATATTAAAAGATAAATTTGGGGGCAAAAATAATTCTGAAATCCATGCATTTTTTTTTAATTATAAACATTTTCTACAAACTTTTTGAAGACCCCTGTATTTATTCTCTGACATTACTTTAAAAGTAAAAAAAAAAGTTACCTAAAATTATAATTTTTAACACAAGACTACTATATGGGCTGTGGCATAGAAATGACAGGCAGAAAAACAGAGAAGTAATACTGAACACTTCAACCTTAAATAATCATGTAGGTAATTTACAAATTAACCTAAAGAATGTGACCAATATTAAGGTAATGACTTTGGGTAGCTACTAGAATTTTGAAAATTGAGTACAGAATCACTGTGTTCTTGCCCTACCTAGTCAACTATGAACAAAGAAAAGCTAAAAGTAATTTGAAGTATTGAAATGTATTTGTTGATCTTACACATGATCTTTGACCACAGGACTTCTATTTATTTTCTTGCTCATAAAAATTTGTCTTAAGAGTTTTATCTCTTTCAATTTAAAGAATGAAAAGACAGCAGGATGAGCTAGAAGGACATTTCTCCTAACAACCTTTTCTTTCTTCCTCTCCATCTTCTCACTGAGACACTGCTCTATACTCACGTCTCTCTAATGAAAACATGATGACTGTTAAAAACTCACATTATTTTACCGTCAAGCAGTTAGTCAATTTCAACTTGGGAAAGTAATACTTCAGTACAACATTTTAGTGTTAATCAAAAGCTTATCACCTAAACATGGTTCCACATTTAATAATTGACGATCAAAATTTCCTATTCTCTAATTTTCGTTTGTAATCTAACTTTTTTTGTTTTGACAGGCAGAGTTAGACAGAGAGAGAGAGATGGAGAGAAAGGTCCTCCTTCCATTGGTTAACCCCCCAAATGGCTGACACGGCCGGCGTGCTGCACTGATCTGAAGCCAGGAGCCAGGTGCTTCTCCTGGTCTCCCATGCGGGTGCAGGGCCCAAACACCTGGGCCATCCTCTACTGCCTTCCTGGGCCATAGCAGAGAGCTGGACTGGAAGAGGAGCAACCGGGACAGAATTCGGTGCCCCAACCGGGACTAGAACCCGGGGTGCCGGCGCATCAGATGGAAGATTAGCTTAGTGAGCTGTGGCACCGGCCTGTAATCTAACTTGGACTACATTTTACTTATCAGAGCAACTGAAAAAATAAAATAGAAACAAAAGAAAAATAATACTTAACACGTTAAAATACTTTGAGGGTTGTGTATGTAGGAAAAAATAGGGAAAAGGATGACAGTAATGAAAGAGTACACTCAACTACATCAAAATCCTAAAGACTTCAAGAAAAGGGAAGTGGAAAACTAGCCCTGGATGAGAATTTGTTCTAATAGTCAGACTTGTTGGCCTCAGATAGCTCCAAATTAAAAAATCTTACCATATAGAAATAGGATAAACAGCAGCACATTGTCCAAAAAACTGAACCAGTTTTTACAGATTTTACCTAAAAAACAAAATAAGCAACTGATATAATACAAATGTTTATCAATAATCCTAAAACTTAAAAAAGTTGGTTAGTAAACTTGTGTTACAAATAGCAAATGTCTTATTGCAAAAAAAAATAAATAAATAAAATAAAGTACAGAGGTCATTCAGATACCAGGTCTACTTCATATATGTATATTTAACACTCAGCAGCTATTTCAAGAATACCTCCCTTCTGGTTACAGTTCTCAGTAAGAGGAATCAGCTTAAACAGAACAAATTACTCTTCTATCTTAAATTGATTAATATTAATGAATTGGGACTCTAACTAAAGAACAAATTTGTTCAGTAAATGTACATTTTCATATGGCTGATTTGTTTACATACCACACCTTGATACATAATTTTTCTTCATTTGAATATTGTGATAACATACATCTCACAGTAACTCTGAGCCATCTGTTTTTAAAAACTTTTCATCATTACATTCAGAAATTTTCAGAAACTACAATCAATATTCAGAAAATTTATATACCGAAGATATTTTTGAGAAGACCTGATGATATTAAGTACAATTCTCAATTATTCTGAATCAGGAAGGCAAACTGCAACAAAGTAAAGTTCAAAAAGTGGACAAATTTCTACTGTCTTAAAAAGCTAATTAAAGTCATTCCCAAATAAAAGTTCATCTTTCCATTTCTAAAAGCAAAACAAACACCTTCAGCAAACTTTTTTTTCTAAAGATTTCGGAAACACAAGATCTAAATACTTACGCCGATGGCAAAAGGTCACGTCTTTAACATGAGTAGTGCGTACCACTAGAAGTCCTAATACGAGTAATTCTGCAGTAACAGTTACCTCTTTTAAATCCTTGTACCTGATAGGTAAGTTCAAATTTTAGTGTCTACGGAGAACATTTCAAGAAATTATTTACCCTTAGAATTGGTCTCTACTACTGGATTGTAACAAGCTACAGGTGACATATGAACTTTGGAAGAAAGAATTGTATCTCCTGTTTATAGCACTTAAAATTTTATCAAGCTGAATTCTTTTTAACTAGTGAAAGTTAAAAACACTAAAGACAATTTGCTTTAAATTCAACATAGAATGTATATGACCATATATATTTCCTAAATATGTATTTTAAAATCCCTTGATTTTTTCAGCAGAAGAGCTAGTGGCTATATGATAGAATAAAATAAAGTGGGCTTTAGTCCAAAATGTGAATAAGTGAGAAAATTTCCCAAGGCTATCAGAGATTACTCCTGATATCTAATCTCCAAAGAGACTGGAGAGGAAGATAATTTCTAGGAAGGCTAGCAGGTACACCAGGGTGATAGAAAAGAGTTTCCAGAGAAGTCTTCTCTTTTAATGTGAGAACAATGGTAAGCCTTCTCAGTAGAGGGCATTGGAGGAATATAGAAGAAGGGGCTCTCTTATGTCAGAGATGGCTGGGGTTTGGCCAAGGGGTTGTGAGGGCCTCTAGTGGAGCTGATCCCAACCACGGACCCAGAACACAGCCCCTCTCTAACTCTGCAGCCTTGATCTGGTGATTGCCTTTCCTGATCCAGTAATCAGAGCCTCCATGACCACTTTGAAAGCTACCTGCTCCACTGACAGCTGGCCTCCACTGCACACCAAGCCACAAAGGTCACCGGCTCTCACTTCAAACTTCCCTCCCCTGCCATGGCCACTCCACTGCTGTTTTACTGTTTGTTCACCAGCTCCAAATCAGCTCCAGTTTGACCAAACCACTTAACTCTCTACTGCCAAATGGCAGAAGCACACCCCATCCAATGATACATGAGCACTTCCCAAGTTTGTCCTTGGATACCAATTTCCCTCTTAATAGCTCTTTTATCATAGTTAAGATTTCTAAAATTTTTCCCCATTGAATTAAGAACTTTTTTTTTTTTTAATTTATTTACTTGAAAGTTAGAGTGACAGAGAAGACAGGAAGAGGCACAGAGAGATCTTCCACCTGCTGGTTCATTTCCCAGATGGCCACAACAGTCAGGAGCTTCATCCAGGTCTCCCACATGGGTGGCAGGGGCCCAAACACTTGGGCCATATGCTGCTGGTTTTTCCAACGCCATTAGCAGGGAGGTGGCTAGAAAGCAGTGCAGCCAGGACACAAACTGGTGTCCATACTGGATTCCGGCGTTGCAAGCCCCAATTGACTTGTTTCTATAAAACTTATTTAATTTACTGTGTTTGTTTCTGTCTCTTGACTAGACCTAGACTAATATAAGAAAATCAAGATTTTTTTAATTTCCAAGTATAGTTCATATTCCTAAATTTCTTCTGACTATAAAAAACAAAAAACAACAACAACAAAAACCTGTGTAGGCTGAGAGAGAATAAGAAAAATAAAGCTAATATATTCCTCAGTATTCACTAATAGGCAGAAAACTTTGCTAGGCTATGTTGGACATACGAATTATAATTAGGTCCTACTCCACTGGGGAAATAATACACAGGGAAAAACTTTAGTCAAAGCACATTATGAGAGAAGCCACACAGTGAGTATAGACACGACAGATGAATGCCAACGGCAGTACAATATTGGCTGGGATAAAATTTAATAAGTTTTTCTGTCTCTCTGCCCATCAAATAAGTAAAGAATAAATATCTAAGTATGAAGGAGAAGATATCTGGTACAGAGGTTAAGACATCACTTGGGATGCTTCACCCCATTTATAGTGCCTGGGTCCTGATTCCACTTCTAATTCCAGCTTCCTGTCAGTGCAAATCCTGGAAGGCAACATGTGATGGCCCATGTACTTGGGTGCCTGCCACTGATATGGGAGAAATAAATGGGTCTCCGGCTGGTGGCTTCTGCCTAGCCCAACTTTGGCAGTTGTGGGGATTTGGGAAGTAAATTAACATATGCAAGATCCCTGATTGTCTGCCTTTCTGATCTAATTAATTACATCACAAGATGTTTGCTGAACTGGAACAAAACCTTGAGGGCAATGAAGCAGGAATGATGGAAGGCATCCATCTACTCACAGGAATTCAGTGGCAGGTACACACACACAGAGGTAGCAGGTGCACAGGACTTTAAAATTATGAACGAAAAATTCACAATCTAGAGATGACTGTAAATAGAGAAGTAATTAGTACCATATTTCACAGAATCTATAATTACCACATCTTAATTTCAGAGATGCTAAAATATTAGGGGAATGTTTATGTCTTGGGAACTGATGACAAATAGTACACACATAGGTGAAATGCTGAAACAGAGGCAGATAGTATAAGCCTGCTGAGAAAAATCAGAGTAACAAAACCTAATTTAACGAATGAGTAAGGTTTCAAAGAGGCAAGCCTTGAAGGATTCTAAATGGGGAAGAGGAATCAGTAACAAAGGAAACAGAGAACAGCACCTGAACCATTCAGAAGGAACCGAGATGTCTTTTAGAAAATGTTGTCTGAGAGACAGACTGGGACTTTGATTGTTATGATCAGGATTTGGTCTTCATTTATGAACAATACGGAACCCATTAATGCAGCCTCGAAAATAGGGAAGTAGCATGTTCAGATACGCTATTATAAAAGGTAACTCCAGTAAAAGAATAGATCAGGATATACCTTTATTAAGAGATAAAAGACTTGGAAGGCTAAGAAGGTAAGATTTTTGAGCTCTAAAGTTCAAGCAGTAGCAACGCAAAGGAAGCTGTGAGACTTGGAGTAATGGACAAAAAAGCTGGGGACTTCCAGCTTCCTGGCTTGTTGTACTACCCATTAATGGGGAAGAGAAAGGCCAACAGATGGTCAGTTTGAATGGGTGATTTTTAAATAGTGTTTTGACAAAAATTAGAAAAAAGCTGAAATATATAGGGACATATTAAAGACATAAATCAGAAACTAAAAGCAGAAACAGATAATTCATTTAAAGCTGGAGATCAACAGTCTCAGTGATTGACACAACTTTTAAGAGAAACAGAATACACAGAAGACTTGAACAACATACCCAACTTGATCTGTTCATTAATTGGGAATACTCAACCACAAACAGTAGGATATACATTTTTTTAAAGTCTTCAGGACAGACCACACGAAGAAAACTTTTTATAAATAGACTATGTATTTAGGCTTGGAGGCCCTAGCTGTCACAACTGCGCAGTTCTACCATTGTAGTGCAAAAGCAGCTATAGCCAATCTGTAAAACTTTATTTACTAAAGCAGGTGGCTTGTCTGTAAAGCCATAATTCACAGGTTCCTAAGCCGTACCATAAAACAAGTCTGATTACATTTTTAAAAAAGGATTATCTGTTTATTTATTTGAAAGTAGTCAAAGCAACAGAGAAACAGAGAATCTTCCATCCATTGGTTCACTCCCCAAATGGAGCGAATGGCCAGGGAGGGGCCAGGCCGAAGCCAGGAGCTTCTTCTAGGTCTGCCACGTGGGTACAGGGCCCAAGTACTTGGGCCATCCTCCAATGCTTTCGTGGGTGCATTAGCAGGGAGCTAGACTGGAAGTGAAGCAGCTGGGATACTAACCGGGGCCCATGTGGGATGTTGGATTGGGAGTAGCGGCTTAACCTGCTGTGCAGTGCGGGTGCCAAGTCCCACTGCATTTAACCATGCAGGCTGTTCTTTAACAAGGAAATCATAAATCAATGAGAAAGAGTATGCTGGAGAAATCCCTAAATATTTGGAAATTAAATGACATCCAAAAAACCACATGTTAAAGAAGAAATTATCAACTAAAAAATTTTTCAAATGCATTACAATGAAAATACAAGCTTTTAAAATACACAGAACAGAGCTGAAACAGTGATTAGAATATAACTTTAAATGGCTGTATGAGAAAATTGGGAATAGGCAAAATCACAGGATTCAACCTCAGTACATTAGAAAAGAGCAAACCAATGCAAAGCAGAAGGAAACAATAAAGGCCAGTGGGCATTTGGCCCAACATTAAGACACTGCTTGGGATGCCCACATCCATATCAAGAAGGGGCCTGAGTTCAAGTCCTGGGTTTAATTTGGTTGCCCAATTTCCTGCCAAAT